TACAGGGAGATCATATAGAGATTTAAGGTTTTCTGCCGCAATTTCTCTTAACTGAACACCGTGCGCCGTCCACACGCTCAAATTTTACCGTGCAAACCGAATTTGCACAAACAAAATCTTCAGCAAGTCGAAGTTTACGCAAGCCGCGCTTTTCAGTTTGTGCGAGATAACGTTTTGCCGGCCACACGTACGGGCTTCCCGATACAAACTGGTTTGTGCAGGCAAGCGCGCGGTAAAGCCTGTATGTGTGGCCGGCCCATAAGGAGCTCATGGAGTATCCTTCGAAGGAAAGCACAAACGATTTACTGAGCTTGAACAGAATCCTGCTCAGGAGAGTGATAGGACTCATAACGGGACACTTCTGTCACTTTAAGAAAAGCTTGTAGACAGTCCGGTCTGCCGAGGATGTGAATCGGCGGATGCAACTTCTCTGCATATCCTGGGCGAGTGCGCGGGATTTGCACGTAGCAGAATGGCGCTCCTTGGGAGACCCTATTTGGAACCCAAGGAACTGAGAGAAGTGTCAGCGAGGAAGCTTTTGGGCTTTGTCAAAAGGACAAAACTACTTGCTGAATAGGACTAGTAGTGGGACGCAGAATAGGCCTAATTAGGCCGCGGTGCTAAGGGACGTATTAGGACCAACTATTAAGAAGAAGAAAAAACCACAAATGTTGACCAAAAACTACTACTACGTCCCCTTACCTGATCATGCTGTTGATGAACGTCGCCGGGACGGCCACCGCGAACCACTTCCCCAACTGCTTGATGAAATTCCTGGGCTCCTTCCTCACTATGTACTTAACGATCGCGCCCTCCAGGTTCGCCACGTATATGCTGAGGAACGTCCTCAAGAACAGAAACGTCGTGTGACTGCCCAGCAGGGCCGTCTCCGTGCAGAACACACTCGGTATCATAATCCTCACTAACTTTATAAACTGTAAGATAAACTGCAGGTTCAGGTTGGGGATGCCGCTCCTGAACCGGCCCTTCGCCGGCGGTTTCTTCTTCTTGACGATGCCGTTCTGGTGGATGATGTTGTTCGTGACTAGATTGTTGTTCAAGCTGAGGCCCTCTTTGTTCTCCTTGTGGATGTAGCCGTCTATTATGGGGTAGCCGATCTTGTAGGCGTAGGTGAAGAGGGCGGTCGCTATGATGGCCCCCGAAATCACGCTCCTGTTGGCGTTGATGGCCTTCTCTCCCCTTTCGAGGAACTTCGACACCACCGCAGGCATTTTGGCTAGTTACTCGTATATTTTCCTTTGTACTATAGGTTTAGGTGCAGGTGTACCCCGAAGCTGGCGTTGTGGCAAAGTGATGTGTTTCAGGTGGCGTTTTTACTTTTTCTTGCATCGTGGACATAGATTTATCAATCCATTGCTGCAAAAAAAAAGTACGTTTTTGTATTAAGGAGGTATATCGGGTTTACTCAAATGCACAGATGTTTATAGCGTATTACCCAGTGCTCCCTCTGCGCGTCATATTTTTTTGAATCTAGATTTTGAGATATTGTTGTTGAAAGTTGTTCATTTTAATATAGGTTTATATGGCGAAGATGGACGGTGCGGCTCTTTTTTGTCCATAACTGAGAAAAAAATGTAAAAATTGTGAAACAAAACTTTTCCATATATAGTGTACAGTATTATCTTATTTTTGATGTAAAACTAATGTAAGTTTTGAACATAGTACAGCTGTATTAATTAGAAACAGAAACCAATAATTGAATTTCTGGCTGACTTGAGGATTAATGTGGCAACGTCGCTATCAGCTGACAGAAAGGAGGGAATACATTTGGAAGACTTGATAAAAACGAAATTGATTTCAAACATATACATTTTTCCTAAATCCCATGTACCGGGTGATTCTTTTATCATGGGAAATGAGTTTTTCTCGTAAACGGCTGCAGCAAATTGAGTTCTGTAAAAAGTATTTTATTTGGGCTGATTGATGCTTGGAATTGCGATGGATATGAAAGTTATAATTAAGCGACGCTGGGCGTCGCGACGCTTCAAAAATTTTTTGTCAGAAGCGTACCATTTTTATTTCAGAAATTGGAAGATCTATTGAATAGAAACACTTTTTCCAAATACCATTTTTTTTCATCTAAAACCATTCAAAAATTACAGACCAGTTTTTATGTGTTAAATTGGTCGATTGCCATGCAAAGAATGCATGGTTTTTTAAATTTCACTAAAGCAGGCAGGCTAACTTTTATGCTGATATTGACCACAAATATAATTTAGGATTTAAAGAAAACAATTTACAAAATGTTACTACATTTAATAACACTAATTTAATTGTTTAAGAAATAATGAACGTTTACACTAACAACAACCAATACATAAAACACTAAAGAATAACATGAACTGTGTTTAGTAAAAATTAACTCTTAATTCACAAATCTTATTTTAACAATTGCTCGATATAGGCGCCATCGTTATCTAAACATAAATTGTACCGCTTTCTTATTTCGCAAGATGTAACTTTTCTTAAAACATCACCAGATATTCCATTGCACGCATCAATAATGTTTTGTTTTAAATTATCTAAATTATTAGATTTTGTTTTATACACTATATTTTTTAAAGTTCCCCATAAAAAGAAATCTAAGGGTGTCAAGTCCGGGGACCTAGGCGGAAATTTCAAGGGCCCGTGTGTCCC